TGCTGTGGATTAAACAAGTGCGAAAACAAGAAAAATAGAACAGATCTGTGTAGCTTACCAGATGAAGAGGAAGGAACTGAAAGCTGGAAACGACACTGGAGGGATTCACGAGCTTTGTAGTTGCAAGTTTGAGGAGCAATGGAAGATCAGAAGCAAGGGAGAGAGAGAAGGTGAATAGTGCAAGTGAAGTGAAAGATCCAAAAACAAAAGGGTTTGTTTTGTGTAAAGGGAAGGACCAAAAGAGCGGGACTGTTCAAATTTTGCGAGATACGAAGACGGCGTGACAGCTACATTGGGCCAATTAGAGTGTGCCACGTGTCCTTGGAATGAGAAGCGATCCAGTGGCTGCGATTGAAGAGACGTTTTGATCGGACAGATAGAGCCCGGTATGAATTTAGCTCGGCTGTAAAACTAAAGAATTTAGCTCGGTTGGTAGGCTAAAGTTTTTCTTAGCTTGGCTGGTAACAGGTAATCCCTATCATGCTATACAGATGGGATTAAAGGGCAATTGAGAGGGTAATTTATATATAAATTGGGCCGAGCTGGTTAATAGGCCGCTGTGAGCCATAATAAGAAAGGCGGAGTAAAAGGGTCTTGGCGTTAGCCCGGTCCAAGAGAGTCTTGGAGTTAGCCCGGGCCTAGAAAGCCTTATTGTTATCCCAGTCCAGGAGAGATTTGCGGATAGCTCGGTCACCACACTCAGAGTTAGCCCGGTCGTGGCATAATGCAGTTAGCTCTGTCAGACCTAGCCATTCGTTAGCACGGCCTAAGCACACTATGGATTAGTGTGGTTTATATAGAAGAAACCAAGGTACACGCAGTGAAAGGAAGAACCGAGTTAGGTGGAGCTCGGTCTATTCTGCGGCTTTACCACGACCATGTTATCCCGGTCGTATTGACATCCGACCTAGGTAAAATCATCTCACTTGGTTTAAGCAGTGAGGGGGGTGTTGAAGGATAAGCATTATCTTTCAGGAACGTGATTCCTAGAAGGACTCTACATGGAGGAGTAAGAGTCCTACTAGGATTGTGCCATGCGGAACCTATAAGAGCTCATAACATCGCCTATGGAGAGGTAACGCGACTTTGATTCTCGAATACACAGAATTTTTGTTTATTTGTCTATTTTGCTGACTTAGGCATCGGAGAGGTATCCGGCACACACCGCCGGCTAGCTCACGTTTGTATTTTCAGGGAATAATGCGACGTTGTACGGAGGAGCGCAGACTTGATCAACAGGATTATACGAGAAGGTTTATTTATTTTCCGTACAATTAGTTATAAAAATGTTAATCCAACCTAATCCAGTTCACCTAAACAAATATGACCGTTGGGTATATATATATATATGTACACTTCCATTAAAGAATGAAGAGAGTGTGGGATTAGTTTCCTTTGCTTGGGCTGTACAACTCCTTTGAATGGTCTTGCCATGCCTTTGCACAAAAGGCAAAGAAAGTTGGTGGTGAGAGAGAGCACATGAATTCGTGTATTTTTTTTGTGTGTGGAACGTGGACCTCTCTTCATTACCAAGGGACCCCTCATGTGACAATGCCTTTTGAGAAAAATCCTCCACCCTCCATAGTAATGTTAGGAATTCAAAAAAATTATTAAAATTTTATATTATATTCTTATATAAGTATTGTATAAAAATTTTAATAATATTGTCAAAATCTGTAACATTTTTTTTATTATGTAATAGTAAAACTAAGGTTCTGTTTGACCATCCTTCCAAACCTCTCCCATGCTACTTATTAAACACCCGAACAAGAATTAATGCATTCCTCCACTTCTCCTTACTTTCTCTCCATCCAAATATAGTTGAAGAGATTTGCACTTACTTTCTAAAATCCTAAATTACATTACTTATTTTTTAAATTTGAAAAAAATACAATGAGTTTCGTAAGTATATGTAATCACATCAATTTTTCTTCCAGTAAGACTAAAGTGATCAGAAATAAATTATATGGTGTATAAATACATAAATTAAACAAGACAAAATATGAATTTTAATATAAAAGATATAATAAATATAATTTTTTTTATACAACTAACGAATTATTGAGAAAAGGGAGATAAGTGTTAAGTGAAATAAAAAAAAATTTAAGAGAGCTTAATATAATTATGTTAGATTTATAAAAATCAAATTTTTGTAATTTTAATTGAGGTTAATTAGTGTAAATTACCCTCTAAAAATGTAAAATTTATTGTTAATAGTGATTGCTAGAAACAAAATGAAAGTCAACTAACAACACACAAGAAATATTTGTTGTATGCCTCAAAAAACAAAAAAACCAAAAAAAAAAACATAATCCTTGTGATTTCCGTAAAAATAAATAATTAAATAAATAGAACTATGAGTGAACTCAGCCGGCTTTTATTGTGACTTCACCGGCCCCAGTTCGATGTTCCATGAAATTGGCCGTCCCATTAAATAAGTAGAATTCTTTTCTTACATAAAATTCATACAAAAAAAATTGATAAAAGTGAGGTGATATTTTCATTATTATAGATGTATTCATTTTCAACAATATTTTATTTTGAAATGAAAGTTTTATAATGAATCACATCATTATGTATGAATTTTTTGTTTGTATAACATTAGTCAATTAATAATGAACAAAGTGCAAAGAAATTGTTTTGATCATACCGCTATGGATTCGTTTGGCAAGTATTTTTTTTTAGTATTTTTTTAGTTTTTTGATTAAAATATAAGATGAAAAAAATAAAAACGTTTGGAAATAATTTTTTTGACATTTTATAAATAAAAAAAATGCAAAAAAAAAAAAAAACATGATGAATCTTTGAATTTTAAATTTTTTGTAATTTTTTTTTATTTTTTAACTATATTAGCTTTTTCTTAGAAAGTTTAAAAAATAAGATGTAAGATTTTATTTTGTTAGTTAAAAAAAAAAAAAAAAAGCTTGTTAGAAATATCTCTCTATTAAAAGTAAAAGAACTTCAGCTTTTCACTTTTTATTTTTCTTTTTTATTATTTAGATGTACTAATAAGCCTCAGTTTATCTTGAAAAATAACATTATTATTAAGTCATATCAACTTTAAATTCAGATAAACAAGGCCTACTTTTTATTTTTTTTAAAAAAATCAAATTAATTTAAGACACTATAATATCATAGTTTATTCAATTTTTACTCTTAATATGTGTACAAACTCTTATGTTAATTTTGAAGACACTTGAAGGATAAATTTGAAATAAAGTATGCTATTATGGAATCTTGAACTAATTTAAGAAAAGTCCTAAAAAAAAGATTTAGTTGTCCAAATTTAAAATTAATCGAACATAATAGTAATTTAAGAAAAAAGGTATACTTAAACCAAACTAAACCAAGTCTTTAGTCCCCATCAGATGGGGTCGGTTGTATAAATTATTCTTCTCTACTTGACTCTATCCAAAGTTATTTCATTAGTCAAATTAAAGAGATTCATACCTCGATTTACTACACTAGTTCACGTCAATCTAAGTCTACTCCTTCCCTTAACACTACCATCTACTATCATATATTTACTACTGCCTATATTGGTCTTAATTGTATATATGACCAAATCATCTCAATCTATTATCTCTTAACTTATCTTCTATCGGTACTACTCTTATCTATTCTCGACTATAGTCGTTCCTAACTCTATATGTTCTAGTCTTGCCACACATTCACCTTAGCATCCTCATCTCAGCAACACTCATCTTATCTACATATTTTTTCTTAGTTGTCCAACATTCCGTCTCATACAACATTGCTGGTCTAGTAACTGTTCTATAGAACTTTCCTTTTAGTCTAATGGATACTCATTTATCGCACAGTACTCCAGACGGACTCCTCTACTTAAGTCACCCTGCCTTAATTCTATGGACCACATCCGCTCCAATCTCCCGAGTCATTGTGATAATCAATCCTAAAATAACGAAATGGTTCACTCTTAAGTAGTTCTTGATTCTCAATATTCACTTCTCCTCTACTTCTATTGTGACTGTTATTAAAATTATACTCTATATACACTGCCTTAGTTCTGTTTTTCCTAAATCCTTTAGATTCAAGTGTTTTTCTCTAAATCTCTAACTTAGTGTTAACTCATTCTCTAGTCTCATCCACTAACACAATATCATTTGTAAAAAGCATACACCATGATACATCATCTTGAATATTGCGCATCAGCTCATCCATAACTAAAGCGAAAAGATAAGGACTTAAGCTTTATCCTTGTGTAACCCTACAATAATTGAAAATTCACTCCTCTCTCCAACAAGCAATTTAATAGTGGTCACCATACCTTCATACATATACCTAATCATATCAATATAAACTTTTGTCACCACACCTTCATACCCACCAGATTATATTTGATAGCACCCACACAATCTTTTTGGACCCCTATTTTTTGGATTGCTACCAACTAACTTCAAATTTTGTATAGATTTTGAGTAATGTTACAGTTGATGAAAAAAATATCAGGAAAAATTTTTCATCCTTGAATTAGTTTATAGTGTTTTATTGTATGTTATGTAATCACATACACTGAGTTACAACATATCAATTATAGAACACTATAAGACAAAACTAAATGTATACTATTTGCAAACTAAAACTCCAAAATTAAAATATACTTACATTAAGGTAAGCCACTTTTCTTGTGTTGTTACCTACCATACTAGATTATTTCTTAAAACTTCGTGAAGTTTTTTCTGATATTTCTTTCATGAAACCTAACAGTTCTCATAGGTGTCTTGAAACAACCCACTTAACCCTTACCCTCTCAAACTTTAACCTTACCTCTACTCTTTCAAATCATAACCATATCGCAACCACTCACTAGCTCCTCAGTGCTACCCATCAGTCATTCCCCACCCTTAGTCCCTCTTTACTTTTACTTTCCCATGCTATTCTCACTACCACCAATCATTGTAACGCCCCCAAATAATTAACATACAAGGATCTTGATTTTATCTATTTTCCATTAAACAATCAGGAAACTTCTAACACCATAATACTAAATAATTCTCCATACTTGTATTTCTTGATATGCGAGAGATGTACAAAAGGTGTCCACATACAATACATATTTAATCTTCTCTAAAGTATGAATCTATAACATGTAAGACAAATAATAAAAGAAACAATTACAAAATAAAGCCCCTTGTGCCACAAGTTCCAAAGCTTAAGCCCAGTTACAAGGAAATGGTTCACAAACCCATACACATAAGCCCTTGGCTCGTTAAAAATACAACAACTAAACAAAAGAGCCTTGCGCTCTCAAAACGTCCACTCGCCTTCACTGAGGCAGGATCACCACATTTTTTTCTGTACAAATCCACTAAGGGTGAGCACTAAATCTAGTAAGAAGATCTTAACAAAATATATATATATGTTTAAACAATCTTAAATATAGGTGCAATGACATGTCATACTCCAAAACCTTAAGCCTTATCCTTTTGAAATTATATGCAACTCTTTTCGAAAACATGTTATCACAATGAATTTGAAATACAAATATGGGGTGATAAATACGACTTCGGTAATCCCTAGGCTGCTGTCTGCAAGTAGAAATATTAAGCACTACCAATCACCACTTTACCGGCTCCTAATCGAAAGGCACATGGTACTTACTCCGCTTGTGTTTTCGGTCTTTCACTATTGACACTCAGGCTAACTTAATGAATACCAAACTTCATCTCCCTATTCGGACTTGCCAAATATATTTACCGTAAAACATTTCAAGATCTCAATTTGTTTTCTCAAAACAATAACACAATTTCCAAAACATAACCTTAATAATGAATATTCAAAAGCTATGTAAATGAATGAAATACTACAAATGTAATTATGTAACCTCATTGTACATTTTCCCACAATTCTCAACAATTTTTTCCTCAATGTGAAATACAACATTCAATATTCCTCAATTTCTCAAATAATAACCAACATTCATAAACTTGTGACATGTGACACAATTCCATATTCACAATTTATGTAGTTATCAAATGTCCCTGGTCAAAGTATTTTCAACGTACTATCCATGGCTATTTCTCAACAAAAAATCCATCCATTTTCATAAATGATTCAATAATATATCAAACATATGATTTTCCTCATCTTTCTCAACAAACATCTCATGATCTTATGAGTTTTTCTATAAATAAATAAATAAAAAATTTTCCCCAATTTCCAGAAAAATATCTAGGGTTTTCCTTCCAAAATAAATTTTCTCATTTACAAAAGGTATAAACATCAATGGACTTCCAAGAGTCACACATTTCATAAATAGGGATGAGAAAAATGAGTCCGGATCCTCGGCCGCCATTCCCAGCGGCCCTTCCCAGCAGCGCCCTAAAACGACGTTTTGGGGCCAATTTTCCAAAAATAAATAAATAAATAACAGAAAAAAGGGCAGAAACCAGAGGGGGGAAGAAGATCAAAACCCATCTCTGTAACTCAGACCATCAATGGAAAAGCCATCAAAACCCTTTCTTCCTCTTTAACCCTTTTTGGAATAATTTGTTCATCTTAACCGAACCCAGCAGCAACCTTCAAAAAAAAAAAAAAAGGAACCCAACAAGGAGATAGCCAAGGGCAAACCAGAGGGGGTCGATTTTTGATAAAAAATTATAAAATGATAAAATCAGCAACAACATCATCAGATTTTGATAAAAAAAGACAGATCATTAGCAATATTGATTTGGGGAACCCTTGGAATTTTGATGGGTTTCAAATTTTTTTTTTGTTCCCTTCATCCCCAGATTCAAATCAGCAACAACATCATCATCTTCAACATCACCATCATCTTCATCAACAAAAAAAAAAAAAAAAATTACCTTTGATCATCAAGCAGAACCAGAACCAGAAGAAACCCAAAATTTCTCCAAAGAAGAAGATCCAGATCCACACCTTTATCAAAATTTCCACACCTTTTCCTTCATCATCATCATCATCATCATCATCATTTTGGAGTATAGAAAGATCCAGATCCACAGAAGAAGGGAAAAAAAAAAATCGACAACAACAACATCTAAAACAGAGACGATCGAGTGGGTTTGATTCATAAATTTTTTTTTTTTTTAGACGATCGAGTGGGTTTGATTCATAAATTTTTTTTTTTTTTTTGGAAAAAACAAAGTTTTGCAAATATTGGGTTTGATTTTTTCTTGTTTGTGGGTTTTGTAATGTTATCTTTGGGTGTTGACTATTTGGATTTGGATCTAAATCTAAGAGGTTGCTGACAATGAGAGAGTGAAATATATATATATATGTATTATACATATATGTATCTGCCATTGTTGAATATTTGGATTTGTGTGTGTGTGTGAGAGAGAGAGAGAGAGAGAGATGGATAACAGAGGAAGACAAACTTTATTTGAGGGAGACGTGGAGTTGTTTGTTTCTGGGTTTGATTTTGATTTTGCCTCCTCTTGAGTTCAAGTGTTCGTTTTTTTTTTTTTTTTTTTTTTTTTTTAATTTATGAATGATAAATTTGTTGCTGTTTGTTTGTTTGGGAAAATTGGCCCCAAAACGACGTCGTTTTGGGGCGCTGCTGGGAAGGGCCGCTGGGAATGGCGGCCGAGGATCCGGAATTGAGAAAAATATCCCTATTGAAGCACCATCAAAACCCACAACTCAAATCCCAACACATAACATTATAATTTCATCAAAGAAATAGGTTAAGACATGCCAAAATCATATATATAACTCAAAAAAAAATCTTAGCTCAGGCTTGGAGAGAAAAGATGAGAAAATGCCTTAAAATCAATGGTGTCAAAATCCGATCTCTGCCGCACACATTGTAGCTCTTGATGAGCTCCCCAAAATTAGTGAAGGAACTAGAGTCAAATTTCTAATGGATTTTAAGAGATCAAGAATTTAAGAGGGTTCGTGGGTGTATTCTAGAGGGAGATGAGAGAAAAGAGAATAAAGTAAAGTATAGAGAGAGTGAAGTGAAAAGTAAAGAGCAAAAAGTGAAAATTAAAAATGGAGGGTTATTTACTTCAGATTTAAAGTGATTTGACACACTTTTTGAACCTGACTCTAGACATACTGCTAGAGTGATGGATCCTACGCTCAAGCAGTGAATCCAAACTCTCAGAATCTCTCTCATCTGCAAGCAGAACACTTGAGCTGTGAAATCACACTCCTAATATATCAGATTTCAGAATGAAGAACTAGTCAGACGAGTTTACCGCTCGAGGGACTCAACTTTCAAGTAAGGCTAAAATCAATGTTAGAGTATTCCCACCGTTCCCGAACTTGATCTAACACCCAAGGACCCAAGTCGACATCTCGAAATACACTTTTAGCAGAGAATGAATAATAATAATGAAGAGAGTAGGTGACAATACGTGACTTGTAGAGTTCAATAGTAGTAAGGACTTCAATAAAGAATAAAAATTTTGAATAAATATACTCAAGTTGTTTTAAAAAGGCTCGAAATATCACAATCATCACGAGTAAAGAGTGAATGAAAGAGAAGTTGTGACAAAGAGAGAGAATGAGAAATTGTATGATTAAGGGAAAAGAATAAAGGTCACAAGAGTAGCGGTCTACACACGTGAAGTGGCTGTGAGAGTAAGGCCGTTGGGGTAAGGGGAGTGCAAAGGAATGAGAAATGATAGAAAGGGACTAAGAGTGACAAACAAAGTTAAAGAAGGGATAATGAGCGACGATTGGAACTAAGGAAAAGTAAGGTAGTGTGGTTGGAGCAGCTGGTGCTTGAGGTGCGATAGAATTAGGGTTAAGATTTGAAAAATTAGAAATGAAAGCAAAATTGAAATTGTAAGATAAGATAAAATTATAATATATATATATATATATATTGAATAAATTGGGTCAAAAGAAGAAATTAAGGGTGCTGGTCATAATTATTTAAAATTAAATTCAAGTAGATGAACTATAGGGCAAGTAGAAAGACACGTGTGAATACTCATTAGGTTTTGTTTGGACATGGTCAGGGGTTAGTGCAGCTATTTCGGAACGATTCGCACGTGCCTACAAACACTATGCCAAAACAGGGCATTAACGGCCGTTTTTTTAACGGCGGTAACGAAAATCGTCGTTAAAGGTACTATTAACGGCGGTAACGAAAACCGTCGTTAAAGGTATCATTAACGGCGGTTTTGTTACCGTCGTTAAAAAAACCGCCGTTAATGCCCACTTTTAACGGCGGTAACAAAACCGCCACTAATGCCTAATCATTACCGCCGTTAATGACGACGGTCTTTGCCGGCGAAACTCCGGCGTGCTCCGGCAAAACTCCGGCAAGCTTTGGCGAAACCATCTACAATAAAGTAAAAGTAATGTTTAAATATTTATTTAGGGAATATATTTCATGAAGAGTGGCTATGGTAGAGTGGTTAGTGTGGGTAGATGAGAGGATGAGGGTTCAAGACTTGGGGAGTGCAAGAAGAAAGAATTATTTTTTGAAAAATTTGAACCTATTTACGGCGGTAAAAAACCGCCGTTTTTGGTCAATTTTTAACGACGGTAATTTACCTTTTTACGACGGTTGTACTTTTTCCGACACGCGCATAAACGGCGGTAACAAAACCGCCATTAAAGGCTTTAACGGCGGTTTTACAGCCTTTAACGGCGGTAAAAAACCGCCGCTAAAGTCCAATTTTGGCATAGTGAAACTCTTTCTTCACTCGCTTGCCGAATTAGCCCAGTAAGGCTTGGTTTGGAAGCTGGGTTGATTTTTTGCCTTTTTGATTTTTTTTAACTATTTTAATTTGGGTTAAAAAGTTTTGTTTGAGTATGATTTTTTAATTTTTTGATTTTTTTGACTTTTTTTGTAAGAAAAAAGTGTAATGATTATAAATTGAATGTGATATTTTATTTATTGTGATTAAAATAATTTATTTTATCTTTTGTAATTATTTTAACCACAAACCATCTTCTCAAACGGAACCAAAGTGGTCCTAGAATGCCAGCTAGTCATCCCAATTTCCGTTTACGTGGGCCTAACAAAAACCACTTGAAATTGAAATAAATAGGGCAAATTACATACACACCCCTCAAGGTTTGGCTAAATTACAGATGCCCCCCTGAGGTTTGAGAAATTACGAATTCCTCCCTGAATGCTATATTTGCATAAGAAATTATGGGGTAATTTGTTATGAAATATAAACTTCAGGGGGCAAATTGTTATGAAAATACAAACCTCAGGGGGCGGGATGTAATTCATCTTCTCAAACGGAACCAAAGTGGTCCTAGAATGCCAGCTAGTCATCCCAATTTCCGTTTACGTGGGCCTAACAAAAACCACTTGAAATTGAAATAAATAAATAAAAACCACTCCTTCAATTCAAATTACAAAACTGTCCCTTTCTCTATTACCACTCAAACCGCGTCAAGATCACATAAATAATGAAATTATCTCCTTTTTTGTTTTTTTTTGTTTTTATTTTTGTAATTTTAATTTTATTTTGTAAAGTTACAAAATATAATAACTTTTGTTAAGGTGCAAGATAGAGGACTGGAGAGTTCTGTCTTATGTCATCGAACACAAGTTCACTTATACTTTTATTTTAAATTGTTTTCTTTTAAATGTAATTTTTTCAACTTTAAAACCTTCATTCTCATTCTTTTTATTTTTTTTCCCTCGTCACCGAGATTTGTTTAAATTTTTGTTTTTGTTATATTAAAATAAGTATTATTAATTAACTTCATAAAATAATATCATTTCTCTTTTTTAAATCAAGAGACGAAAGCTTATCTGTCGATAATATATGTCATTTTGAAGAGGCTCAAACTCATGATTTTAACAATCAAATTATCTAGATCAGATACCTAAATATCATTGAACTTTACCGATCATCGACTAATGTTGTAAAAACTATGCAAGGGTAAGAAGGAATAGGAATTTTGGGGTGGAGGGGAGGAGATTATTGTGGAGGAGAAAATGTTTTTAGTAAGATAATTAGTTTATTTATCCTCAAAAACAATAAATCCAAGTTATTTATCAATTTTTTTAAAAAATAAATAAATGATATTATTATTGTAAAGGGCAATGGAAACTCATTCAAATCATTTGAGGACTCAGTGGAGTTATTTATGAAGTTAGCTTCCATTACGATTGTGATTAGTCATAACGTTTTAACTAACATGGCATAAATGTATATTCATATCTGCACACACACATTATTCGATTCTTAATTTCGCTTTCAATCAATTTTGTGAGCCTAAGAAAATAAATACATAAAAGTAAGTACTTAGAATTTGTACCATAGATTTTGCCCAAACAGTGTATATGTAGTCCAGATTTAATTTATATACCTCGAGCCCTATATCTATAGTGAATTTGGGCCACACATCAATTTTTTTGAGTAAAATTCTAAATAAAAATTTTGAATATGTAGCACTGCTCTTCGTAATGTCCCTTTTATTGTTTGTAAAATTGGCTACTTGATACTAATGTTGCTAAAAATAAAAATAAAAAATAAAAAACTATATGAAGTTTTTATTGGTTGCTTTCTTTTCTTTTCTCCTTTATCTTATCTCCAATGTTTTGTTAAAAATAAATAAATAAATAAATAGTTTCTCAAAAAAATCCTTGTAAACATTATTCTCCTCTATTTGTTTGTTTGTTTGTTTGTTTGTTTTTTTCTTCTTCTTTTCTATATGTTTGTTGACCTTATCTTGCCCTCTTTTTTGTGGTATTTTTTTCCTACTCTTTTCTCCACATCATTATAGAAAAAATATTTAAAAAATTTGCACATTTTTAATAAACTATAAGAACATCTCCATAACAAAGTATACAACTTCAATGACTTAAAAAATACTTAGGGAAATAAAGAAAAAGAACTTGAGAATTATGACCATGATATTCCTTAAGATTTAAGATAAAAACTAATTAGATAAGAATACCCTATGCAAAGAATGATGAAGATGTTTATCACCTATTCTTTCATTGCTCTTTGAATATTAGTATTTATAGTTTGCTAAATCTGAAAATCTCATCATTGTTGGCATGTTGAGATTAGTTGTATTATTGAAAAAAATTAGTAACAAATCCTTTAACAATCTAATCAAAAAAATTGCTTAGTCTGATATGATTTATTGCATATGCAATGAGAAGAATTGCATAATTTTTCAGGCTATTCATAAATCTCCTACCTTATTGCTTAAATTTAGTAACATGATTTTCATTAAAACTTTTCAGTTTTATTTTATATAAAATAATAAAATTCTCAATTAGCGAAAAAGAAAAACTTGAAAATAAAGTTAACAATAAATAGAAAGAGTAATTTGAAAATTAGGAAAATGATAAAACATAAATGGAAAAAAGTTAAAAGGCCATTTTTTGTTTGTTTGTTTGGTGCAAAAAAAAAAAAAAAAAAAGGGGCCAGTTTTGGAAAATTATAAACAAAGGCCCCCTAAGGATTAGAGGTTAATTCAGTAATTTCATATTATTCAACGTTAAACTCTCATTTTTGCAATGCTAACCTACTCACACAGCGGCCAATAGCATCACTCACATCTCACATCCCTCTCTCTCTCTCTCTCTCTCTCTCTCTCATCAAACATCATCGCCAGCCTTCCACAAAATTATCAAAATTCCTCTAAATTTTTTAAAAAAATCTCTGTGTTACTCTCATCTCAGTAACGTCCAAAAAAAATTAATTTTTTTAAATTTAACTTTTAGAATTTTTTTTTTTTTAAAAAAAAAAATGAGCTTCCAATAAACCTGTCTTTGATTTTCAACCCCTTCCACTCCAGAATCCTTAATCCAATCCAAGCAAATTGATAACCCAAAAATCAGGGGTCTTTCATTTCAACTCTTGACCTTTTTTTTTTTTCTTTCATCATCCATTTTTTCCTCAAACCAATCCTTTCTTTTCAGTATATATTTTTCCTCAAGAATCATCCTCTCTCTCTCTCTCTCTCTCTCTCATTTTTCATTTTAATTTACAGAAGTAGCAGTAGAAATATCCGTGTTCTGTTTTTGTTTTTTTGTTTTGGTTTTGTGTGTGTGTGGTTGTGTTTTTCTTTTTTGTTCTTTTGTTTCTTGTTTTTGTGCTTTCCTTTTCTCTGAGGTTGGGTTGTCTGTAAATTCAACCTTTTCAAGAATCCATTTGGGAAAAGATTCATAGTTTTTTCTTTTTTAAAATCAGATTTGGAGAAAGTTTCATGGCATTTAGATTCATGGGTTTTCTCTGATATTTAGTCTTCTTAATTTTTTTCTTTCTTTTCTATCAAATCCTTAGGTACCCATTTCCAAAAGAATCAAAATTTCAGAATTTGATCATCAAATTTTCAAAAATTGACCATTTCATGGTTTGAACACACTGGGGATTTCGAATTTGACACCACCTCTCTCTCTCTCTCTTCTTGATCCATCACCATAACCTCATACAATGTATGGAACTGAGGGCGGAATAGACATGGCCTTAGAATTTCAGTCCCATATCCCCATTTTGAGGCCAAGCATTCATGCCAGGAGGGCAAACCTAACTGTAAAGTTTCAAGATCTTTATGGGTTCACAGTAGAAGGAAATGTTGATGATGTTAATGTATTGAATGAGGTTAGAGAGAAGGTGAGGCAACAGGGTAGGGTTTGGTGGGCTTTGGAGGCCAGCAAAGGGGCCAATTGGTATTTGCAGACTCAAATTTCATCAACCCTTAAATCTTCCCTTACATTTTCAGCTTTAGGTAATGCAGTTACCCTCAAGAAGCTCATCAGGAAGGGGATTCCGCCGGTTTTACGGCCTAAGGTCTGGTTTTCGCTCTCTGGGGCGGCTAAGAAGAAGTCCACGGTTCCAGAGACCTATTACAATGACTTGACCAAGGCTGTTGAGGGTAAGGTCACACCGGCAACGCTGCAGATCGATCATGTGAGTTATTGCCTTCGGTGTTACATTGATTGTTTGTGGCATTTCTTGGATTTGATTGTTATGGCATCGCTATTACTCCATTGTGAATGATCATGTTTACTCTGGATTGTTGGTTGGTTGTTTTGGATGAAATGGTTATGGCATTATTGTTCTTGTTGCATTGTTTGATGTTGTTTGGATACAAAAGATGAGAAAATTTGCAGTTGGAATCTATTATAACACACTTATCTTAATTATCCTCTCTGTTTGATGCTGAACATGAAATTTCCTGGTTCAGGTGAGTTTGTTTAGTTTGCATTGTATTACTTTTACAACATAAATTTTGTCATACTCTGCATTGTGTCAAGTGGCCCATTTCAAAGTGCTGGAAATTATTAGGGCGAATTGGGAAATGCTATTGATTCAAAGGAACATGAATTCTCAAACTCTCCAAGTCTTAGTTTATTAATATAGATGAATTTTATAAGATCAATTAAAGATTAGAGCTTATGTAAGGTACAATTGTACATTTTGTTTTGCAGTATTTTTTATGTGATATGTAAGGAGGATTATGGAGGATTAGGTTTTTATTTTCTTGGATTGTGTACTTGTAATTCTTGATTTGTTTAGTAATGCCTTTATGTTCTCAAGTTGAACACTTGAAGCATGTTGTTTAGATCAGAGTATACAATTTGTTTGTATATTTATATGCCTGACATTGTCGTCTTCTTTTTTATTTTAATATATGTGGAGCGTTCATTGTGTACTTTTTGATGTGTTGATGGCTTAGTAATGCTTTTATTTTCTCAAGTTCAAGCATTGTTGTTTGGGATCAATGTGATAAGCAGAGTTTAAACAATCTGTGCTTGTGTATTTATATGTTTGTTCATTGTCTTTGTTTTGGAATATATCCGGTGTGTATATTGGCCACAGTTAGTATGGGTATAAAGGGGCAAGGTTAGACTGTGTGTCCCATGTCCCCCTCATCCCATGTTTGGTGGCCTCAAATGAGGCCAGCTGTGATTGACTGGTTGGGGCGAATAATCCCATGTAGAGGGTACTACTTAATCCCACTCTGGGCATTCTGTTAATGATGAGACTAAAGTGTGGACCATTTTGATTTTTTTGGGCAAATTACACTTCTAGACCATTTTGATTTTAATTGATGTATTTAAAGTCTAAATTGTTTCTATTCTTAGGTATGCAATGCATTGTTTTTTATTTTTAATTTTGTTTTCAAGCTTAGTTTATTTATTATTTTAATAAACATTAATTATTAGTTCTTAATAATTGTTTGACAAGTATTTTTTTTTGTTCAACCATATAAAATGAACACAATCTAAAAATTAAAAAAAAGGCTATGGCGGCGTTTAAAAAACGTCACTATATCCCATCCCAACGGTAAGATTTTTAAAATGTATAAATGTCTATGACGGCGTTTTCAAAAACGTCGCTAAATGTCAGAGTGACGTCACAGTACACTTAGGTCGGACATTTGGCGGCATTTTTAAAAACGCCGTCTATACTAATATAACAACGTTTTTTAAACGCCATAAAGTTATAGCAACGGCCGCGTCATCGGCGTTTGATACTAAACGTCGCAAAAAGAATTATTGACGTTTTTAGTACCTTTAGCGGCATTTAAAAAAGTGAATTTTCCAGCAGTGCCTGCAGCACATGAACCAGGTCGGATACAAAAGAAAGTTTCATGGCAAATGCCAAGGACCGATGATAACTTTCACTAAAGCTGACCTGGAGTTGGTCCAACATCCGCATAATGATGCCTTGGTAGTATCCCTCCAGGTTGGGGAATGCCAAGTGAAACGCATCCTGATAGATCAAGGCAGCTCTTGTGACATAAT